TACGTCATGCTCATAATGCGATGCAACTTCCCTCCCTAATCATAATCCCTGTAGCATGAAGTTTGAAAATGTAACAATGAAAGTTGGCAATCTCACTTTGCGGCAAAAAATAAAGTAAAATAAACAACCTTTCTCTATTTTTACAGCCTTTGAAATATAGTGAATTGAGCTTATTTTAGTTCAAGGAATAGTGGAAAAAGATCGAATATGCTAAATTCAATAATGTTAATGACAAATTATTAAAATATGATAACTACATAGGATTTGTATAGAGTTCATCGATAATTTTACTTGACTAAAAAATACATTGAACCCGTTGAATTTTATTTCCATGTTGTTATTAATATCCCATGACATGAATACAAAATTGAATTTCTTATATGTAAAATTTACATGCTCATAAGAGTAGTGCCCGAACTTTTGTGCATCTATTTACACCTGTTTTTATTTTGTCAAGAAAAAGATATAAGTGATAGATGCCATTATAAATAAATCGTCAAAATTTATTTATTCAATTCGAAAGTGAAAACACAAAAACAAAGGCATTGAACGTGTCAATAATATGATAGGGCAAAACGACCTAGGGCTCAACATATCATATATATGAAGGAAGAAAAACATATGAAGTCCCTATAAAGAGTACCACCTAACAAAAATCGAATCATGAAACCAAAAAACATTGGTAGAAAATATTTGATCGATACCTAAATTGCAAGTTAGAGAGTCCTATACCTTGTGAGAAAGGGCTGAAATCCGGAAAGAAAAACGCTTGAGGGAAAGCCAGTTGCAAACAAACCATGAGTATCTGAAAAAGGAACTGCCCGTTGACCCCTGCAAGAATAAGACAACATCAGTCTCCTACTAACCCTTAGGAAAGGTTTCATTAAGATCAAATAACAAATTTCCTTTAGAATCCATCTCATACGTAAAGGCCTAACATGGAGTAATATATACAAATGCATCCATTCTCACTGTCTGCTTTTTTTTTTTTTTTTGAAGAAAATGCACATGCATTTCATTGGTGAGGCAAATCAATAATCTGGAAACCTCTGAAGCATTAATAAAAAGAAAATTGAAATTTTCAAACCATGTTCAGCATAGCAATCTATTAGAGAAGGAGATACAAACATGAACAAAACCTACTTTAATACTGAAGCACTGCAAATTGAGACATCAACCTTTTCACTAAAAAAAAAAAAAAAAAGAACCTCTAAATTTCAACGATAGAAATCAATCAACTGACACACAGATCTGCAAAGGAAAGCATGCAGCAGGAGGAGAGAGAAAGAAGAGTTTTGGCCATCTAGTTTTTATGAGTGAGATAACTCATTGGAATAGCAAAAGATGGGGATGATGTTATTAATAACATTAATGAGGTTATTTGTTAAAAGGAATGTGGGTGTAATAGAATTTATGTAAATATTTAATAGTTAATCATAAATTTAATACCAAACCTTGAAAACTGAAATCAGGCTCTGGAACTTCAATTGATCAAAGAGATAGAGATGCCAGTTATGTGAAAATTACTAATGGCAAAGGTCTTTGAGCTACAATACTTATGTAGTCATTACTTGAATATTGATGAAAGTTTAAAGATTAACACATATAAAGAAGATATAGAAAGGGCCTGATTGACTTTATAAGAAAAAAAAACGAAGGGATAACCATGAGAGAGCTTATTGCAGTTGTTTTTGTGTCTTAATTAATGCAACAAGTTTAATGAGATTAAAAAAATAAATTAAAAATTGGATGTTGGGATTAAGGAGCGAAAAAAATTAAAGATTTTGAGATTAATTGGCATTTTATATTAGTATAGATATAGATATAGATATAATAAATATAGATTTTAGAATAAGATAACCATAAGCCATAAATTGAAATATTTCATCAATAAATATATGTAAATTCTTGAATAGGGATAACATATATATTCTAGAGTTATGTAGGGTTAAAATAGGAAAATAAAAAATTTTCTTGTCAAGACACTTTTAGAAATAATATAGATATAGATACAGATAGATAGATATATGAACATTAGAGCCAATTGACAAGTTCACCTATTCATGTAGAAGTCCAAAAGTTCTCTTTAAATGGTAATTGAATGGAGAATATGAACAATTTAATTTAATAATGTCATTATGTATTTTTAAAGGTTATTATTGAAGATCACATGTTCTTATCATTTTTCAATATATGATACAAATGTCCTAATACTATTATCTGAGGATAAAAAAGAAAATAAATGTTTTTCAAGTATGTTGACATTTTAAAGTAGTGTATATGTATATCATTGCCTGGGACATTTGACAACGTCACTGTTACTGTCAACACGACAGTTACAATACTTCATTACTTGTCTTGGATAGTGAAAACACTTCACTAAAACTGTCTTCGGGAAAATGACAATGCCACTAATATAATATTGGGATAGTGAAAATACTCTATTTTTACTGTCTTTGAGACAGTGACAATGCCACTGTTATTAATCAGGATAATAACAGTGCCTTGAAAATACTCTATTGTTAGTGGTTCTGGGACAGTGACAATGCCACTATTACTGATCAGGATAGTAACATCGCCTTTGTTACTGTCATGGGATAGTAAAAATACTCCTTTGTTACTTTCCTTGGGATAGTGACAGCCACATTGACTCCATCTATTATGAAAATTTTATATTATTTTTTTTTTCATTTTTTTGTGTGTCCTAATATGGAGAGAAAAATGAGCTCACATAGTCATTACCAATGAATTCAACAAATATTGTCAGCATGAGCTACACAAAGAACATCACCACCATGAATCATTCGGATTTACAACAACTATGGATGATTTTTTTAAGGCAACAATTGACACAATCTCTCAAAAATACATGGTGGGAAAAAGAAATAAAATAAAGAAAATAGAAGGAAATGAGAGAAAAGATAAATAGTTGAATGAAGACGATGAGATAAAGAGAGACTAAAATATAAATAAGGTATGAGAGAAGGGGGAAGAGAGAAGAGAGAAGAGAGAAGAGAGAAAATCTAAATAGATGATATATTGAAGAAGAACGTTAGAGTTAGAGTTAGAGAGAAAAATTAAAGGTATAGATAGGAAAGAGAAATTAAAGAAATGAAAGAGATAGTAAAGAGAAGTTAAAGGGACGAAAGATAGAGAAGAGAGTAGTAATGGAATGGACGATAGATGAAAGAGAAATTAAAGAAGAGAGAGGAGAGTGAAATAGTTAGAAGGATAAATTAAAGGAGAGAGGAGATAGGAGAGAGAAGAGAAAATTAAAGGAAGAGAGGGGAGTCTTGAAAAGATATGCGTGATCTACTGAAGGTCAAAATAGAAAATAAAAAAAAGTAAAGGGACTATTCAACCTACTTACAAAAAAGTACATAACATGTGTCCTGAATAACCTAAAGAGAGTGTGTCTGTCTTTATTCAGATACATTAATTTAGGATGATCAAATACAAATACAATTCAGATAGGGTTGGTAATGAATTGTGTCATGTCGTGTTTAAGTTGTATATAAGTCGTATTCTATTAAAAAATTTTAACACGTGATAGTGCAATTTAGATTGATCTTGATATGTTGGACTTGGAAATGCTTGATCTAGAGGGGGGGGGGGGTGGTGAATAGAACTTGACACTTGATCGCAAAATTTAATACTCAATTCAATACCTAACTCTACCAATTAATTAATTATGACAATTGAAGCACCAATGCCCCAAATTCACACTACCAATTTAGAGATTTACACAAAATCTTCAAATTCTAACAGTCCTTCAAATTCAATTGAATATATCTAACTAAATCAACCAACACCCGCAAAACGAATCACAAGCATTCATTCAATTAACCATATGAAGAATGTAAATTTGCAAGCATGTAAAGAAAATAAAACACACTTGATTGCGGAATTTAATGACCAATCCAATTCCTAACTCTACTATTAATTAATTAATTCATTATTCCAAGAAATTCCTGATCATGGATACTCCATTTGATTGTTTTTACCTCTCCATAATTTTCCTCTTGCAATATCTTATTCTCGAAAAATCACTGTCATATCAAATCTCACATTTACTAAAATCAGCAAATAACTATTTTTCCCATATAATTCATAATACGGTCCTCAACTATCACCTAAGTTTCTTCCTATCTTCAGAAGTACATCAAAACATCATCTGATGATGCACAAAGTAGGCTTATGCACAATCAACAATCGAGTGTGTGGTTCAGGATAATTAATGAAGCAATCAACAAAGCAATTAATGAAGGAGACAAATATTGGCTCAACACAAGCAACACACAGATGTATAGTAGTTCGGTCAGGGTGACCCACTCCACTTTGAAGACGACAACAGTGGCCAATGGTCTTTATTGATGAAGTAATAGGTGAGAGAGAGAGAGAGAGCAAAGGTATGCTCTTGGTAGCCATGAGAGAGATTGTTGTGTAAGGTATGTAGAAAGATGCCCCTCTCATGTGGAGAGGGCTTACAATTTATATGCACAGAGCCTTGGTTGAGGTAGTGGCGTGATGGATAGGTTACTAGTCTTTTGGGGAAAATAAGTACAAGTAAAGATAGTCTTGATCTTCGAGTAGTAGTTATCCAAGTATTTACTCCCCACGTGCACTAATCTTCCTAGACTCCTTGAACTTTGGACTGGGCCGGATCCATAAGCTGGACTTGACATGCATTGTAGCCAATTTGGACTTACCTAAGAATTGGGTTTGGACCCAGATGGATTTGGCCTCATCATTTAGCCCCTATGCCCTAGCTATGACAAAAGGGGTTGAGGGCATGAGTGAGCCTCTTCATCTAGACAGGCCAGGCAGAAGATTTCTTGTTCTACATGGTGGTAGCTTTTTCAGCTTTCCCTCTCTGCGTACCTTGGGAGCTCACTTCCTTATTTGTCATGTCTCGCTACTAAAGACCTACTGTGAGCTCAGAGGAGATTTCAGCCTTTCATATTAAAAGCTCATTTTCTACATTTAGGCACTTTCTTTAGGGCTTTTAAGGCCAATATGAGAATGGGAACAAAAAGGGAATCAATGGCCTCGATGAAACCCGATGAGGGAGATGTCTTGGCACCTCCACAATCAAATTTAGGCCTTGGGGAAGATGATCCAATAGACGACGACGTCAAAGAGGTTGATGGCAACGTCTATCGGCACGAGTCCTAACGTGGTGCCATGGCAGTTGGCGGTACCATTTTTGTAGAGCTCCGGGGCGGCACCATTGCAAAGCTTCAAGGCGGCGCCAAAGGCAAGAAAGGCATGGACGGTGCCTTTCGAGCAGAAGGCGACACCTATTTTGTCCTAGGCAGTGCCCCTTCTACGGTTGGAGGAGATGGAGTTCTAGCAAAAACAGGAGGGGGAATGCACCTGTGAGTGGTGACTGTGCTGGCCTCGGCCTGGGCGACGCTAGTCAATGCTTGGGCTTGGGTGACGCCTTGGACAGAGGAGAAGAGGGCGCCAATGGAGAGGATGACGATGCCTTGCACCAGTAGAGACAGTGCTGTGGGTGCTGGCATGGGCGATGCCATGCAAGGTGCTTGTCTGGGCGATGCTAGCTTGGGCGCTGATGGCCTGGACGATGCCAGACAATGCTTGGGTGTTTGGCTTGGGCAATGCCAAGCAACGTCTGGGTGCTGTCTTGAGTATTACAAATTTATGAAGAAACAGTGAAACTTCAAACGACCATAACTTTGCGCTCGATAGTCTGTTTTGAGGCAATTTTTTTTTGAATTTGGGCATTTTGTCGAGATCTATGACGTACCAATAGTTGAGGCGGTTTGGGCACCAAATTTCTCATAAAAATGTTTCTTTCTCATAGAATTTGAGTTTGAAACACAAATTAGTAAAACTGACGGCTGTGGGAAGTTGCGCTCTGACAGGCAACTGTCAGGCATTCATGGATGATAGGTTGACATTCTGGGTTTTGCCAGAGAGGGAGACTATGATGGCTTTTGGATAGGTAGGAGGCAAACCCACTTTCTCCATAATGTTTTCTCAATGCTAGTTCTTTATATTGACCTTATCTCTGATTACAGACGTCCTGTTGATAAAACGATGGGGAAGGCTCTCTATGCTTTTAGGGTGGCGTCTTCTTTTCTTCTAAGAGGCCTAAGAAAAATGCCCCCAGTGCTTCTCGGCCAAGGTCCGATGGTCAGGTGCTTCTTGGGCTGCAGGATCTGGTGGTGCCCTTACTCCTTCCTACACTACGACTCTTGTGTGTACCAGAGCTAGCTCTAGTGCTATTGTAGGAGTTAAGACTCCAATGCAATTTTTTATAGGGACTGTAGCTCCATGTAGCTGCCCTGCTTTTAGTAGTGGCTTGGTGTTCATATTTTGACGTGAATTTGGCCAAAGAACGGCTTTGGAGGTCTGTGACTCCTAGAGATATTAGAGAGTTTGGATCTCGAGGTCTACAGGGAATTATCAATACCGTGATGGAGGGGTTTTCCATGGTATGCCTTTCTTCTTAACTTCGATTTTGTACCCACCTCCTTTCCTTCATGCTCTATTTTTTGAATGCTTGTAGGTGGCTGTCGCTTTTCTCTACCTTTTTTCAAGAACAATATAACTTGGAGAGGTATCCAGGGATTTGGCAAAACAGAGGTGGGCACAAAAGGTGGCTGAGGAGCAGTTAATGTTGGCTCATAAGAGAATAACACCTCTTGAGGCCGAGCTTTTGGCGACTTGTGAGAGAGGAGCTAAATTGGAGATTGAGGTTGCTTGAGAGCAAAGGTAGGATTAGACCAAGCTTTCAGGTGACTCGTGAGAGTGCGAAGCTTGAGATATAGACTACTTGGGAGCAGAGGTAGGATTAGGCCAAGATTTTTGGCAACTTGCGAGAGAGTGCAAAGTTGGAGACTGATAAGGTGACTATCTACATGAGAGTAGAGTCAGAGATGCAACCGTTCTGCGAGAGGGCTGCAAGAGCTAAGGCCGAGCTACGTATAGCTCGGGAGAGGGCTGCCGTGGCAGAGGCTCATTCCATTGAGATGGAGATGAGAAGGGAGGCTGCTAAAAGGGCCATTGCAGGCGCCTTTATTGATGGTTATGAAGAGCTTGACAGCTTTTTGTGTTATTGATTTCTCTGACTTCGTCCCCTATGAGGCATTAGGGGTAGATGGTGACCGGGAGAGCTTTGATGAGAATGGATCGGGGAGTATTAAGTGATTGCCCGGAGTATGCCAACTTTTATCTTTTTATCTACCTTGTTGTTAGGTCATTTTCTAACTTTTGTAAGCTGTTTACAAACTTTATGAAATGAAAGTTAGACAGTTCTGAATGCAATAATCTTCTTAGAGTTTTATTTCATAAAATAATAGATAACAAAATAAATCAACTGAAACGACAAATAAAATTATAGTCACTGGCTTATACCCTGCTATTGATAATACCTCTTTAGGTGTTCGATGTCCAATGGATGGGCCAAGGCTTCCTTGTTTCCAGTGTCCTATCATTCCTAGGGTCGAACACTTTCACTTAGAGGGCCTCTTGGGGTTTCTTGGTGTAACACCCCGCATTTTCTTTTATATATGTATATAGATATATAGTAAATAATTGTTGTAAAAATGGGGATATGTGTAGTGATGTGTGTTTGAATTTGGTAGAATGAAAAAGGAATGAACAGTGCACTGGCTGTAACATCAAGCTCGATTTCGACCTTGATGCAGTCCATATCTCTCAAAACTTAAAACATGAAATTTGTAGATCTCTCTCTTAGGATTCCATATCACCTTGAATCATCTCAATCGGAACTAGGAGGAAGGAGTTATGTCCATATTACGAAGTAGTGTCTACTCTGTCCAAAAATCTGTCCGGCAGACTACCTTTCGCTAATTTCATCATAACTCTTTATTGGAAAGTCCGAATTGTGCACCGTTATTTTTGTTAGAACCCTAACTCGTATATCTTTCCAACCATATAGGTTACACCTCCTAGAAATACCTGAGTCAAATCAGTTTATTCTATGAAGTTGACCAAAAATCTGCACTATGGTGCTCCTTGGATAGTAAAGGGTTGTGCTTTCTTATTAGACCTTAAAGGTGTAAAACCCCATATGTTTACATTAATATATTAATGTACTTGTTTAGTGATTCTTCTATATGTAATGACTTAAGAATAAACCATATATATATATTAAAATCGTAAGGATATCACCTATAGTAGTTCGAAGGAATAAAATAGAAATTTTAATGTTCCAAGTGTGAATTTATTTTAGTTTTGAAATAAATCATAAAAAGCAATGTTTTTAGGTTAAAATAACATTAAAAATGAATCCGGAACGTCGAAAAACCTTAGGGTAGTCGTATGGATCAAATTGGAGATTTCTAGTGGCAAAACTGTAATTTTGGAAAAAAACTCAAAATTCAGCCCATGAACAGTGATGTCGCGGACTGCTGTGTTTAAAACACAGAAACCAGCCCATTTCCTTCCATTTTTTCTCACATCTCTCACCCCCAAACCCCTTAGCACCCTTGGGGAAGATAGAGGAAAGGAGGAAAGGGAGAAAGGAGGTCATTAGAGCTTGGGTTTGTGGTTTGAAACTTTGATTCAAGGTAGGGGTTTTTCTTCCATGCTTGTCCATTGAGGCTAAGGCTAATATATATATATGTTTTGACTCATACTTGTATGTATTTGCTAGGAATTCCTTGTTTCTTGGTTTTCTTGCAATTATGGCATGTCTTAAACAAAGTTAGGATTGATTACCCATGAAACTTCTTTTATAGCTTTAAAACCCTAGTTTTTGGGGAAATATGGAATTCTCTTTCTACATTTGCTCAAGCTTGGTTTTGAGAACTTTAGTGCTTTGTGTGAGTAATGAAAATGATGTGGTGGTGATCTCTTGTATTTTCCTAATTGTTTATTGAAATTGCCTCATAATGGATTTGTGGATCTTTGGAAATTTGCTTGTAAATTGGAGATTTATGGAATCCTTGGTTATGTGTGATGATTGTTGGGATGATGTGATCTTGTATGGTTGTTGGAATGAACATGGATGAGAGGTTCCTTGTAAGGATGCTCATTCCATCTCAAGAGGTTCCTTGTAAGGATGCTTGAGAAACCAAATCTTGAGGGTGAGAGGTTCCTTGTAAGGATGCTCACACCAAAAGAGGACATTATGTGATTTTCTCAAGAGGTTCCTTGTAAGGATGCTTGAGAAACCAAATCTTGAGGGTGAGAGGTTCCTTGTAAGGATGCTCCCATTAGAGAGGACAATATGATATCATGTGTGGGAAATGATTTATATTTTGGTAATGGATGTTTATTAGCACTTAGTTGAAATTGCTCCTTTCTATTACTATTGTTACTTAAACTTGAGATTCGTGCCAAAGGAAATATAATAATCGATGGTGGAATAAGCGTTCCTTTTTGTATTATGGTGTTACTATTGCATTTCCCACAAGAGCTTGTGGAGGTATGAGACTCTACAAGAACTTGTTGGAAATGGTTATGGTTGCTCATTGTGACTTGGGTTTACTGTTCATTTAAATTATTGCGAATGTTTAAACTTGAGATCTGTTTCAAATGTCACGGTTTTACTTCAAATGTTATATGATATTTTGGAAAATAAGACCGAACTGTTTTACTTGTTTTCTAAACCTTGTATGAGTATGGAAGGAATGTTGCTACAGAGCTTAGTGCTCATCCCCTACAAATAATATCTTTTCAGATTTCGTCTATGAGGAGGAGTTACAAGTAGATGAACCAGTGCATGGGGAAGCTCCCCTAGAGGGGAACGGGGGTCCTGAACTGGATGCCTAGAGTTATATTTCTTTTGTACTAGACTAGAGAGTTTATTTTGAAATCATGTAAAGTCTAGTATTTTGTTATTTCACTGCAAGTGTAATTTAATTCTTTTGGGAATATATTTGTCATACTTGGCCTATTCTTTTGGGATGGCATTGTGGATATGGCATATGATGAATGAAAGTTTATTTTATGATGGATAAATAGACCCGGTGTGGTCAATAGTTATGCATATGTGGACCCGGTGTGGTCAATTGTAATATAATTGTACAGGTTGTGTTTTGGGTAAAGCTCCCCGTACAAAGGAGACTCTGCCCAAATTTTGTTAAAATATGAATGGTTGATGAATGAACTTTCGTCGTGATGAATTTACGTAATGCTCTCATGGGGTGAATGGTTTTTAGAATGTAATGTCACCCAAGGGGTTTTTGGGGCGTTACAAATTTGGTATCAAAGCTTAGGCTTTAGGTCTTACATGGGAGCTGTAGGTTATGGATTACCACTAGAAAGGCAGGATTAGGTTGAACAAAATTGATGATCTATGTTTTATATAAATCTTAGGCTTTAAATTAAAGCAATAATTAGGATGTCTTGTACCTCAATGAAATTAAATTGTGAATTGATGTGCAGGATGGATGGAGGACGAGGACGAGGACGTGGACGTGGGCGTGGTCGTGGAGGTCAAGCAAATCCACCACCACCACCACCTCCCGATGCCATGAATGGCATCTATCAATGCTTGAAGGAGCTCACCACTTTGGTACAAAACCAGAATGGGAACAACAACCATAATGGTGGAGCTCAACCACTAGCGGAAGTACCCGGAATTGGAAATGGAGATCGAAGGATGGTGGTTCTTCGAGAATTTCTGAGACAACATCCACCCACCTTCC